ATCGAAAAATAAAAAAATTTTATTTTATTATTTTATTATTTATATTTATTTTATTTCCGGTCTAGTTTTTGGGTGGAAAGTGATCCAAAGAGAGTCAAGATGTTTGGATAATGTTCTGTATGCTGTAGCTATTGTGCACCTTGTGTGAGTCTCTTGTTACTCATAGTAAAGAACATGTTTCAATTTATAAATACAGTTGATTTTTAATGATTTTTTGACACTCTTCTTGCAATATTTGTGCGCGTTTTTCTGAATTGCCCTTCAATGAATTTATTAGTAAAAAAATGTTTGCATAAAAAGAAGAAGAAATTAAATATATTTCGTCAGTACACAAGTTATAATGTCAGATAAAAATGAATACATCGTTGTATTTTACGTTTTTTCGTTGTAACGTTAGTCGAAAATTACTAAAAACGTTTTTTTTTCCACCGTCAGGTACTCACGTATGCAAAGATTAATCGGATGAAGATGAAGTGTTTATGTATGCCAACACATTTTTCCCCGGGGCATGCTAATATGCCGGTGGTAAGGTTGATAAATAATATCGCGAGACAAACCGGAAATTTTGATAAACTTGAGAGCCGACGAAAGTCAACAGTGGAAACGGCGCCGCTAATAAGAATGATGTATCATCTCAGCGAAATTGTCTTTATCGTCCGCCCCCGGATAATGAATGAATTAAGTTGGCCGTAAGCCATGAAGAAAATTACCCGTATAAATAACACCCGCGGAGACAAAACTTCACGGCCGCGGTGGCCGTATGAGAATTCTTGCTGACGGTAATATTTCCCGGCCACCTCGCTGCACTCGTAACCGTAAATTATTCCGTAAAACGCAACGTTTTTGCCAGTTATGTTCTTTAGAGTCTGTGCTTTTAATCCGCGGCCAATTTACACGTTGTCGCTTTATTACTTCTTCCCCTCTGCGTAACTCGCGCGCGATTTCCCACTCGTTGATTTAACATTTTTATCTGCTTCAACCTATTTCCGATTTCACATGATTAAGTATGTAATGCAATTTTTGAAGATATATCCAGAGTGCGAAACGTGAGATACATAATATAACCGGTGATTTCGTGGGCGTTATTTCGTTGTCTATTACTGAGTAA